ACCTCAGCACCTACACCTACCCCAACAACGCCACTCAGCAGCACATTGTCTGGCCGCTGATCCAGGAGCTGGACAAGGACAAGATGACCTCCTTCCTGGGCACCTTCTCCACTTTCCACAATCGCGTGCGTTTGCCTCTCCCCTCCCCCCGCCCTTCACCTCCCATACACGCACATGAGACACCCCGCGATCCCCTCCCCCCCCCCCGGCTATTCCGGACTCACCAGTCGACTTCCCCTCTCTCTCTCTCCCTCTCTGTGTGCATCTCCTCCTCCAACATCCCCCGCCCCTCCTACACACACACACACACACACACAGTACTACATGAGCCCCACCGGTGTGGAGTCGCACGAGTGGCTGCTGGACCATGTCACCTCGATCGCGCGCCAGGCCGGTCGCAACGACATCTCCTGCCGCTTCCACCACCACGTCGACTTCCCCCAGCCGTCGGTCATCTGCACCATGCGCGGCAACTCCCCCAACTCGACCATTCGCAACCAGATTGTCGTTTGCAGTGCCCACTCGGACTCCATCAACACCAAGCAGCCGCTGAATGGCCGCGCCCCCGGTGTGGATGATGATGGCTCCGGCGTGGCCGGCTGCGTGGAGATCATGCGCGTCCTGGCCAACAGCAACTACCGCCCCAGCCGCACCATCGAGTTCCATGCCTACGCCGCCGAGGAGGTGGGCCTCCGCGGCAGCGCCTCCGTCGCTCAGACCTACTTCGCCAAGGGCACCCCGGTCTACGCCGTGGCCCAGAACGAGATGTCCGGCTATGTCAAGCCCGGCATCACCCCGCACATCAACCTGGTCAATGACAATGTCCACCAGGGCCTTGTCAGCCTGATGGAGGAGCTTGCCCTTGAGTATGTGGACCTGCCCACTCGCCGCACCACCTGCGGCTATGCCTGCTCGGACCACGCCTCCTGGACCCAGTACGGCATCGGGGCCGTGGCCACCGCCGAGGCCGGCCCCAAGGACGACTGGGTCAACCCCAAGATGCACACCGACGGGGATGACATGGACCTCTTCAACCCGGACTATGCGCTGGAGTTCGCCAAGCTGAACATGGCCTTCATTGTGGAGTGCGCCGAGTTCCGCGGCTAACTACACACGCCTTCCGGCTGAGTCCCTCCCCCCCCCCCCCTCTTTCTCAGACTTCCATTCCTCCCTCTGTGTGTGCGTGTGTGTCCTGTGCGCATGGGAGATGCACGCCCCCCCCCCCTGTACGGTGTCCATCACCTGCCACCCCCCCCCCCCCATCCGCGGTACCACCACGCGCACACACCTGTCCCCTGCTTCGTTTTTATTTGCCCCTGCTGGCCAGGGGAGAGAGGATACACGCACCGCGCGCTGGGTGTGAGAAACACGCAGATCGCACCACTGGGCTGCTTTTGCTTTGTCGTCGTTGCTGCCTTCCCCTTCACTCGCGTGGACCTCAGGGCCAGCAGGGGGGCTGGGGAGTGGCGGAGGCGGAGGAGGAACCATGCCTCTACAGCGCGGGGGAATGACGTGACTGAAGACAAGCCTCTGGGAAGGGGGCGGGAGTGGTCTGTCGGGTGCCGGAGCGGGGGGCAATATTCGACCGCAGAGAACAGCGCGCCCCAAGCGGGCGGGATTTCCCTCTTCTTTTACGAGACGAAGATTACCCGAGGCCGGGTCGATCAGCGTACACGTATCTCTCGGATTTAGACCATCGCGTGATATCCGCTCCGTTGGGAGCCGTCCAGGCCAAGTGCCTGCGGAGGCCGCGAACACTCTTCCCTGGGTGCCGCATTTCCTCGCCGCCGCCCCCCCTCCTCTCCAAGGACACTACCCGACAGGGAAAGGGGGGGAAGGCAACTCTCACAAGTAGAGGCGCCCCTGGGCCACGGCCCGCCACGCACACACACGTATACACACCCCGCGCGGCCGGCCCCCCCTCTCTGCAGGAAAGAGAAAAAGAAAATGTTGGAGGAGCAGGAAAAGACAAGTGCATTGGGAAGGACACGGAAAGGAACACTTCGGCTCGAGGGGGGGGAAGATAGCGAGAGGGAGAGTGTGGCATGCACAAGGCACACAATCTTGCCTCGCCCCCAATGACTATGCTTCCTCCACCCTTGGAGGGGAACCACATACACAAGTACCATCCCTCGCTCGCGCACACACACACACTTAGAAAGCGCAGGTCGTGAAAAGCCGGCCGCCACTCTCCTCCCCGAGGAGGAAAGGGGAATGCCGCGTGCGTGGAGGCAAGGGGCGGCGTCACACGAGGAGACAGCGCACCCCCACACACACACCACATCACACGGCCCTCCCTCCTCGGGCTTTGCCTTTCAGGGGGGGAGAGAGAGAGAGAGAGAGCGGGACCGGCCACAACGCTCAAGTGGAGGAACTTACTCGGAGGAGGCGAAAGAGGCCATGAGGAAGTCGGAGTGCGGGGTGGTGACACCGAAGGAGACGACGACGGCGGAAGAGCAGCGGACGACCTTGCGGGGGTTGCCCTCGCGGTCGATCTTGCACAGGCCGACCATCTCGCCGAGGCGCTTCTGCTCGGGGACCTTGATCAGGTGGATCTTGTTCTCGGCGCACAGAGCCTCGATGAGGGCGACGTAGTTCTTCTCGTCACAATCCTCGGCCAGGACGCAGAAGTGGGCGTTACCGCGAGACAGGGCGCGGGTGGTCTCACGGAGACCGCGGGCCAGATCGCCGTGGATCATGGCGGTCTTCAGGACCTGGTGGAGGGAGTCCTCGATGGTGAGGGGAACCTGGACCTCCTCAACGACCTCGACGGTCTCCTGCTGGACATTGACAACATCTCTGCGGGTCCGCGTGGGGGGGGGCGCGGGAGGGAGGGAGGAAGAGGGTGAGTGTGAGTCGGCGGCTGCCTTCCAGGGCGGGGGGGACGGCGAGAGGAAACCAGAGCACCGGACATCGGATGCACGGTAAATCCGAAAAGGACGGAGATACATTGGGGGGAGGGGGAACGTACACCTCGGACATTTTGACAAAGTTGGTCTGTTGGATCCTCACTGGGGGGGCGGGGGGGGGGGGCGAGGGAGGGGGCGAGGGAGGGGGCGAGGGAGGGAGGGAGGGAGAAGGCAAGAGGGAGGGGGTAAGAACCGGGGGGGGGTGGCGCGGCGTGTACGCGAGAGATAAGGAAACGGCGACGAGCAGAGAGACGAACATGTTGTAATCAAGGAAAAAAAACACGACTAGGCCGGGCAGGCGGGGCACATGGCGGCCAACAGCCGGAGCTTAAATATTTCCCACCCACCCCTGCCCCTCCCCCTGGGTAGGGTCGGAGGGGGCCCCACCCCTCTGCCATCACACATACACACACACACACACACACACACACACACACACACACATAGACACACACATAGACACGCACAGTTCGACGGGACCTCGGAAAGAGAGAGAGGGAGGGAGAGAGAGAGAACCCCGGCAACTCGCGTGGAGGTTTGTGGGGACCTGTGTACAAACTGCACACGACACACGAAAAACCCGGCTCCTCTGCGGGGAGACGCGCGGGGGAGGCAGGGGGGAGGGAATGTCACCCCAGGCAGCAAGCCCGCGCAGGGACCTCGCGCTGTCGCCATGTGCCAGGGGAGAGCCTACTCGCGAGCACGCCGAAAAACGGGCGGCTGGACCACGGGTCCGCGGTGCCTGTAGCTTTGCACACCGCGCGGAATGCTCTTCTCCTGCGCATGTGACTTATGGGTCGCGTGCATGGATCTGCCTCGATCCAGTCCGGCCGGACCCGAAGAATCAAAAAGCTCCCCGCGCGGGCTCGACCGGGAAGAAGCCCGGGGGGGGGGGGGGGGGCGACAGATCAATCCGCAAATGGCGCACGGGAAAAGGAGAGACGCATCCGAACCGCGGCATGTGCGGAAAGCATCACCGACATCCCGGTAACCGCGACCGTCACCACCTTCACCATGCACTTGGGCAATCTCAAGCAGGACGCTGGCGAGGCCAGAGGCGATGGGCGGGGGAAAACAGCGACCGGGCCACACATCTGCACATATATCTTTGTTTAAATTATATTTATTGATGTTGCACATTTTTCTGGCACCGTGTCCCCCCTTCCCCCTCCACGGCCCGAAACAGAGGGCACGCCCATCATTCTTCTCCCCCCCCCCCCCCCCCCAGGAAGTCGGAGTGCGGGGTGGTGACACCGAAGG